TTCGTACAATGGTTATCCGTTGAACTTCCGAGGAAAAATACTGCGATCGGTGTTTAAAATATTCGATGCCTCGATGAAATGTTCCGAACTGGAAGCGAGGTAATCGGCGATTGAAATATTTTTATTTCAATCGTCCGAAATATTTCCATCTTCCATTTCAAATATGCACCCAATATACGCACTGTATTTGGCAAAGCACATTCCGCTCTAATTTAAATGGGAACATACGTAGACGATAAAGTGGACGTTAACATTTTTACCGTGCTACTACTCCTTTCTGCCTGCAAAGTCCTTTCAGCGAGTCGAGCTGGGAGTACTCGAAAATGGTAAATTCGCTACACTGCAAGTATTCCCTAAATAAAACGCTATTTTAAAATCTCCCGACGAACAAAATATCTTTACCCTCAAACGTGCACGCGGTACTACTTCAAACATCGTTTTATTCGGCGCAGGCTCGCCGACGCTATTTCAAACGTTTCACGGGCTGTCAGGATTCTAACCAAACAGGCATAAACAACGAGAACGACGCGTCTCTGCGGGTAATCAATATATCGCCCGAATCGCGATCGATGTATCGTGTTATTTCGAAATAAATCGAAGATTATCATTTTTTCCATCGCTATACCGATCGGTGTTGCTAATATAAAAGATTCACTGATCCACTTACCCATCTTCTTAGCGTGCCACCCTGGTGAAACAGTCCGAGACAACCACATGGCGGGGGGAGCGGTGTTCCTGTGTTGGCGATTGGGCGAATTCCTTTCACGCGAGTCCGAAAGAAAACAAATTTCACAGCGTATCGTTCGTAGAGCCGTTCGAAGGACGCGTTTTCGCGTAGAACGCGGTCATGTTGCACCGTTCGCGGAACCAGCGAGCAAACATCGCCACCAGCCACAACAAAGGATCGAAGGGACGAGAGAAGACCCGTCCGTCCGTCAGAGCATCGTGTAGGTACGTAAGTATCCTTGCCCGTAATCAGAGAGCAGGTTCCACGCTACGTCATTATTATACCATTCCCGAGAAACTGCTCTTCCAGAGTTCCTGCCGTGCGGTTTTTACCGTGCCCACATGACTAACAGGTTGACCGTGAACGCCGACCGAAACTTTCGTCGATACACTATACAGCACACTGAACGACTCGCTCGACCTGCTGCCGCTTGCTTTCTTTCTCTCTCCCGCTCGCTACGTAACGGAACAATTAATCGCACCGAGAAAGGGTAACGCGAGGAAAACAATGACCAAAGTATGTATTCGTCGACTTATTGCGGTATGCGTCTCAGTCCGTACGAAAGGGGGATTCGAAGAAATCCTGCCGCCTCGCTGCACGGCCGTTCCTTCCCCGAGGGGACCGTGCTCTGACAACCGTTTCTACCGGTCCTTGCGAACCGAAGGAACAAATGCTGGACAGATGCGCCTGCAACGCGACCCGGTTTCCAGTCAATTCCCGCGCAAATCTACCCCGTGGTCCTTTTACGCGTTTTCGGTTATCCGTTGGAAAATTTGAAAAGCGTTGGGTGACTTTGGGAAAACGTTCGAGTGGGTTCGCTCGGTGTTTGTGTGTGATGTGAATTCAGTATTGTCAAACGAATCGGTGGTAGAGGATTGTGAAACGAGATTACAACGCACAGAACACGATGCTGCTTCCACGACGTCTCGCGCTAGACTGCGGCTCGCTCTCGGAGTCCCAAGACCGAGTTAAAGCTCTACCATAGGCTGGAGAGCATATCTCGAGCAGCGCCGATTTTCATGCCATTTTTCCCCGTGAGTGGTGCTCAAATCGAAGACGTTACTGCACGCTACGATCAGGTGCGCAATTTAATATTTCCCGGATAATTATTGCCGTTCGATCTACTCTTGGAATATCGAACGAAACGTTATACGTTTTAACCTGTTAATTGTGGATTTTAGTTTGAGAAATCTCTCGTTTTGCACGCAATAAAATCAAGGAACGAAGCGTGCATTCGTCAAACGCAGTACGATTGCGACTAGGGTATATTTTAATGGGAAACCAAAGTGAAACGGAGAAGAATTACATCGTGATTATTCAAATGATATATAAGTATGAATATTTGTTTGTAAACACATTTTGTTAATAATTATATGTTTAGCTCGTGATAGCATTTTAATCGAAATGGTACTGTCATGTATGAAATGGTTTTGAATGAAATTTCGATGGAAGTTTGAAGCAACAGCGATGGAACTATGAAATGTTAATGTTCCCAGAAATATTTCCTCGAAAGTATCCTTGGCACAGTTCCTAACCGAATACGATGCTAACGTGCTTGACTCGACAGAAATTACGGGCAGGTAATTTTTTGAAACTGAGAAATCCCGACGTCAGGATTGGATGGGAGTAGGGCCAGGTAGCGTGGAGCGGAGATGAATAGCAGAATCGATAAATTCTGCCTTCATTCGACCGAATCTGGCGTATCGGCACAGGAAACGTTTTAAGATCCGTTGGAGTCCTGGAAGTATCTCAGCTTTTCTAAGTGCTCCTCTTTGAACAACGGTAATTATATACTGCGTTGTCTGATAACTGATGAATCAGTACGACAATTATTTCGAACGGTATTTACCTTTATTTCATATATCGACGAATCGGTCGACCTTCGATCGGAATAATCATTCCGCATCGTATAAAAAATAATGTATATTTACAAAGTGACGTTGTTCGTTAACTTTATCTAGAAAACACGATTATGTTGATACATTATCTCATTTTTTATAAATTACTGCAAACGCTTATGGATTAATGGTAACCATATTTCTAACCATAACAAGTAAACACAAAAATATTAAAAAAATTTTCCATAATTCGTAAATAATATTTTAAATCTTTCATAGATTAAACTAACGTTATTGTATATTTACAGTCGCGTGTAACGGCCGGCATATGTAGGTAATTTGAAAAAGAAAAGGAAAGAAATTGCAATTTTCATGTGACGGTTTAATTAGTCCCGTGATAATCGCTATTAACTCTGTCTACTTTATTTTTGTTCGTTATCATCGTTTCTGCTGAAAAATGCACGTATATGTATACCTGTAACGCCCTTTGTGTTCTCGGTTCAAAGGCCCGGCCCCTCAGCTGCCTATTGTTCGTTATCTCTGTCTACTACGCATAGGGGGCGATCTTATATATTTTCGAGGGGTTCAGAACTATAATGGCGTGAAAACAAAGGACATCGACGTCTGGAACACCTGGAACCTTTTTTCTCTCTTTAAAAAGCTAGCTCCGCGTATGTTTCGAGTTTTCCTGAGACGATGAGAATTTTTGGTACGCATGGAGTTATAAGAGCGGACATATTGAAAATGCCTAGGAAGTAAACAGCGGAAATACATTCCTTTTCGCGCAAGAAAATAAGGCTTCAGTTACTTACGTATCTCATTCTCAATACATGCGACTGAAAGTGCACGTAACTATCTAGCGTAGACGTTGCACTCAAAGGATGAATTCATTGCAACAACAGATTATGAAATTTACGTAATTAAACATGAAATGTTATTCATAAGAAGCCTGAATCCTTTCTAATTTTTCCATGTATTTCATATTTTTAAATTATGCATAAATATCTAAAATTTTATAATTGGTATGTGTTTTTAAGGAAAGGACTTTCGTATATTATAAATTATTCAGGGGGGATTTCCTTTTTTCTTAGACAAAAATATCGATACTTTAGGATTTTTTATAAACAAAAGTGTAACATTAATTATTTTGAAACTTTGTATAACTTGAAAATTTTTTCAATTCAGTTCACTTAAAAATACAGTTTGAATTGCCCGTGAACTAGGACGCTCCGCAAAATTGCTTCATTAACGATTGACATGATATCTGCCTTCCAGTTCATATGAAATCAAAAATTCCAATGAGATTTTATTTTATACACATGTAATTATCGTTTGATTTACAATGAATAAAAAAAAATTATTTTTCGAGAAATGGTAACTTAGATGTTCGTTTTTTCGCAAAAAATTACCCGAACTTTTGGAAATTAAAAAAAATATATACAATCTATTGTTTTGCCTGTAGATCAAACAATAAAAGGATCCTTTCTTAACATTCAGTTAAAATTTCAAGTTGATTGATCCAATACTTTTTTTTTAAATCATGTCAACCAGCTACAAAAAAGTGGTTTCGAGAAAAACGCGTATAAAGTTTGTAATGCAGTTACTGAACAAATATCAGGTATTTACAACTAATCAGATATTCCAGGTCTGTATATTATTCCTTCCTCTTACTCGTTGAATTGATTTTTTTCTAAATTTGCTGATTTTTCTAATCGCCAATGTACACTTTAATAAAAGTCCATAATTTTGACAATTTTTGTGAATTTTAATTTAAAATTTTGCAGAGACATTCCTACAAAGTTAAACTACAAGATTCTGTAAAAAACAAAAAATTGATTTTTTTACCAAAAGAAAAGAGAATCCCATCTTAAATTGGAAAAAATTAGACGTGGATGTATATTATACAATTATTATACATATTTATAATAAGTAAATACATTTCTAAAATATTTTAATAATAATGGGGACAAACATAAATATTATAAACTATAGGTACTGTCTAAGTAGATTAATAAACTGCTACTATATGACATTCTGTATTTCATAGATTCTTTACATCTGACATAATAATGCTATATATACTCCAATAATTTCTAAATTAAATTAGTCAGGTATGCACTCCAAACCCTGTAAAATAACAAAAATTATGTTGAGTCAATTCTTTCAAAACAGAAAAAAAGAAAAGAATTCGAGTCTTGAAAAACATTATTTTAGATGAATTTGAAAAGATATATTGTCATTAAACAATTAAAAATTATTAAATTACTTACAGCATATGTTCCAGTAGTGTACAAAAAATGCTTATCTCTCTCAAGCATTCTTTTCTCATACCTAGTTGGGATCTGTCTTTTCACACCCTGAAATAGAAAATAAAAAGTAATTATAAGGTAAAGTATAAAAAGACAACAAATCAAGTAGATGTGTGATATGTGAAACATCTTGAAAAGGATTACGCAAACACCTGAATATAGGTTAAGTTTCATCAAATACTTACGTTTCCTGTTACTTTCTTCGTTATGAAATAAGTTAGATGTGGAGGCATGCTGACAGAAATATATAATATAGTCACACATGGGATTAAATGTAACCACCACATTTTTAATCAATTTCTTTTAAATTCATAAAGCACAAAACTAAATCACTTCGGAATATCTGCACAACTGGGTGTACTATGTGTATATACATACAAGTAAGTACGCGCTTGCGTTTATGAATTCCTTCATAGCACGCGATGTTTTCAATTTCTATTACATTTCTCGTTAATTTTTATAAACAGTTTTGAAATTTAACAAGAGTACTATGAATATATTAAATGAAAGCAATAATAAAAAAAATATTATGTAGTTTTTTGAATTTACGTATATAAAATGTTATTTAATTTTTAATACATTTCTTCATCAATTCCGAGTTAAATAGTATATATTTTTTTTTCAATCGTTGTATATTTTAAATATAAAATCTTTCATTTCAATAATTCTGTACTTAACCAATTAGCGCCAAATGGTGAATGTTTATGTTTCTCTATTGGGATATTTATTTGAAATGTTCGATGTGGACAAAATCAAGACAACAGGTACAAATTTCGAAAAAGTATGCTTAAACTTATGCATTATTTTATAGTTTTCTGAAAACTGGTATTTATATTTGTCAACTCAGACATATTAGATTGATACGATATAAATTTTGGATAGCTTTCCCCGTAATAACATGATACGTTATCATAAAGTTCACAACAATAATTGATATAAGGTACATACATATATTTTCATTAAATAAAAACGTCTCTTTCGCACGTAATTGATTACGACATTGTCTTTTGACACGATTTAGTTTACGTTTAATTTTAATTTCTTTTTTCGGGAAAATGGTAAGTGTATCGTGACAAATATTTCTATTTAGTAAAAAAAGCAGATTTCATTGATTACGAATTTCTGGAATTAACATTTTATCGGAGCCACGTCATAATATTGAACATAAGATCCGTTTAGATTATAATTTTACAGAAAAGTAGTATATATTTAAAAAAAAATGTGTATCTTTTTCAGGAGAGGCTCTATAGAAGTTTTAGGCCACCAAAAATGCTACTAAAATTGTATTCTCTTTTTATTCTAATGCTGGATCTTGTAACACTTTCAGTTGGTATTTTTTTTGAAATTTTAATTGCAATATATAGGACATTTAAACCTTTACCCTTAAAAAATCTGCATGGAGAAGTTGCAATGGTAATAAGATTGCTTAAAGTAGTTCATAAACTACATGTGCAGCTTATAAGATACTTACGTGTCCTAGGTTGTGGGTACTGGACGTGGAATTGGCAGAGAATTAGCAATTCATTTATGTCAGTTGGGTGTAAATGTTGCTTGTGTGGATATTAATATTGAAAATTGTAATGTCACTGTAGAAAAGGCTTCTCAAGGATTGGGAGTAGCAACAGCATATATTTGTAATGTTACTAACAAGAAGGAAGTAAGTTTATTATTGTTATATATTTGTAATATAGAATAGAATAGTATACTAATGAAATTATTAATCAATTATAATAGGTGGCTAATACTGTGAGTGCCATTCGATCACAATTAGGTGATATTACAATGCTTTTTCATTGCTGTAGTATACCAAGCCCCAGATCCTTACTTCAAGATCGACCAGAAATAAGACGTACAATTGACTTAACAGTTATTAGTCATTTTTGGGTAACTATATTTTACATAGTGTATACTTAAGATGTTGTGGATGTAAACCATGAGATGCGCTTTTAGTTATTGGAAGCAGTTTTACCTAGTATGGAACATGCTGGTAAAGGACACATAGTGGTTTTGTCTTCTGTAGCTGGTTTATCAGGCGCTACAAATGGAGGAAGCAGAGTTCCATTGTCTACAGCACAGTTTGCTATTCAAGGATTAGCTGAATCACTGCATACAGAATTAAGGCATTCTAATAGTAATATTATAATTACCTTAGTTCACGTTTATCCATTTATCGTAGGTGCAGAAGCAGCAAGAGATATTCGTTTTAGGTAAGAGTTTCACTTTGATCAAAATGATGTTCCTGTAAAAATTTACATTTTTTTATACTCCATATAGAATACCTAGTTTTTTTGGTACAATGCCTGCTATGGAAGCAGCTAAGCAAATTTTAGATGGAGTTCGTCGAAATTATGCAGAATTCAGTGTACCTGGATATTTACTATATATAGGACACATCCTTAGGTAACTCTGTAATTAATATAAATAAATATTATATGTGTAACTAACGAATTATATTTTCAGAATACTTCCTAAAAAGGCATCGTTTATGTTGCGCGATTTATTAGACACAGGAGTTGATTTCGGATGATATTTAATTTTTTTAAATAATTATAATAATTTATCACTTGTAGTTACAATATGCTCATTATAGGAGAATGTACAGGAGAAATTTGAAATTTGTATTACGAAAGAAATTTTATTTGTTGTTTCTAAATCATTCGATCTTTAAAGTGTCTTCCAATAAAGTAACTGTTTGCAACTTCTGTTTCATAATTCGTTGTCGTATATGTTACTGTTATATAGTTCTTACTCTGTTACTTAATATTTACATGTAGTAGTGTAAGTAGTGTTAATAATTAAATCGATATAATGTTTCATTGATTAATGTAGGAACAAATACATACACGCACAACGTACAAAATATGATAAACGCAACTATGGCACTTAATATTTTGGTACAAATCGAAAACTATGAGATAGCCTTTATACTTACTGTTTAGTTAAGAGCAGACATCTGGAAGAACAAATGTTAGTGATTCAATTGTAAGTTAAAAAATGCTTTAAGTAACTTATATGCACGCAACGTAAATCACATGTATTATATGCAACGGATAAAAAACGTTAATATATTTCATATTGAAAGAGTAATTCATATACACGAAATTGTGATGGTTTAACATGGCAAAATATTTATTTTATGTATGCTTAATGTAGTGTACTTTAAATCCCATATCCAGTACTGTGTACAAAATATGTACAAACTTGCAGTAATGTAACATTTGAATTTCTTTTAACAATGTTTTATATATTTCATGAAAGTATTAATAAATATATTTTTACAAATATAAATTTTTGATTATTAATAATAATCCTGTTTGATCCCTGTTGAAATGAAAAAAGGTATAAGCCAGAAATTGTCTTTATGTGATTGAATTAACTTTGATATTTAATGGAGGGTGTACTATACCGTGAAATTAACATACGCATGTATGTACATTCAATTGTGATCGAATATCTATTTACAAAACCAATAAAACCAACTGGATTCTTAACAAGAAATTTTAAACCCGTGTTATGTACATTTTATGTGTAAGTCAAAGAATACGTGGATCTAACGTTTCAGATTAGGACGAGGTATAAACAAAAATATTTATGATTTACAGTGTGAATTCGTTAAAGTTGGGACAATCTGTAGATGATGATTCAGATCCCAACACTGGAATGAGTTTATGCTAATCTAAACCAGGAGGTGCTGGTTCTGAAACATCAGTTTCCATTGTATCTGGTTTTTGTTCAATTGGATAATCACCGGGTGGTGCCTGCAAGAAATTGGAGGAAAAGCTGTTTGGATCAGTTCATATATTTATTTTGTTTTTACGATAATATAAAGATCAATTTTTTATATACAAGATTTACTCACAATATCAAATTCATCATGCATGTCGCAAGGTGATTTACCCTGAATAACATCCATTATCGACTGTGGAATGTGCGCTTTCTGTAAAACAGTTATTATGTTTTTTTTAATAAAAAATAGGCCTTTTATAGTTAATAAAATATTAGAAGCATATTAAACAAAATTACCTGATTTTCAGCGAAGGCCTCGACGTGCGCTAATAACGGGGCGCGTAAATTACTCGCCATCTTTAATGCTTCAGCCAACTGAGTTGGAGGAAGTTGTAAAATTACTGCAAAACTTTGTGGTTGCGTTCGTTCACAACACTTAACAAAACCTTCCCAGACTTTTGGCTGCTTCCAAACTTGTTTAAGGATCAATCGTTGAAGTATATTCATAACAAATCCACTTAACCTCGGATATAAAGCTAAACTTTGTATTACTGTACGCATTAATAACGTAGGTAACGGTGTCATTTCCATCAAGTGTTGCATTACAACGGCCACAGTTTCCTGCGTATACACTTGCTTCTCTGCGAAGCATAGAGACGTAGCTAAAAAGCAATATTATAAAACAAATGTTAACATTAAAAATATTAAAAATGAAGTTGTGGACATTAACAGTACTACACCTTTTATAATTGTTTTTAATTCCGCTTTGCTTGAATCTATATTATGTAAGGCTATTAACAATTCAGCAGGTGTGATGGGAGATGTATGAGGTACGCCACTTTCATTATTATGAGTTCCCAGTAACCTATTAAACACCTGCAAAAGAATCATTTAACCGTTTAACGTTCGATCGTACCTTGAATTTGCACACATATCATTGAAAGATCAATTACCTCTTTAACAACAATGGGATTTAGTTTTATAAGTTTTGGAAGGGCCGCTATTACTTCCTTTTTCGTTAGACCATTCAATACGGGTATTAAAAACCGAACATCGGAAACCCTGGTTTGATAAAGCTCTCGAACTCTTGCAACCAACTCAACACTTGGTGCAGCTAAATATGAAACAATACATTAAAATATCCAAAAGTAGCTAACATAATGTGTAAATTAGAGAACTGCATACATTTTTCTGTAAGAATATGAATGATTCTTGTAACCAGTGTCTCTGCTCCCTTTGGACAATTTTCAACTAAAGCTAATAATTGAGGACTGCCCATTCCTAGGGACCTCACTGGTCCTTCCACTAATCGAAGAACCATACGTTTTACATCTGCACTCATCGATGTATAAACTCTTGCCAATCTAAGAAAATATTATTAAAAGAAAGTTAAACATATTTTCAATATGTGCTTTCCAAAAACAACTCACTCATGGATCAAATCTTGATGTTCGCTCAATAGCGCGAGATATAATCCAAGGCACGCTCTCGTAGTCGATTCTGTCCACTGGGTTTCTACTTGCGGTCTACCCCGATCCTGTCCAAATACGATTTCGGGTGGAGTATGAAGTCGTAAGAAACCCAAATAAAGAACCGCGTACTCTTCTATAAGTTTACTTAACTCAGAACGACTATATAGTTCACAAACTAATTGTATTGCAGCTTCCCTTATCTAAACAAGGACAAAAACTTGAAAACTGAAAATGGTTTCAGTGCATCGCAAGCAGAAGTCGATAATATTACTTACAGTGTTATTCTCATGACCAGTGTGACATAATAACACATTTAAAAAAACTAATTGCTTCGTAGGTCTACGAATAACCATTTCTTTCAATAACTGCAGAGGTGCCAACCCTCTGGTCTCATCAGACGATACCATTTTCAAGGCCTCCACGGCATCTTCGGTAATTAAGGGAGCTTCCAAATATAACCTTTTTATAATCATATGTACAATCAGTATGTTGCAAATAACATTATTCATTGGTATGTATAGTATTTAATGCATACCTGTTCAGGAGTGTGTCTCGATCTTTCCCTTGTACTAAATCTATTGCCGACACTAAAGTACACAACAGAAAGTTATAAGCCTGATGTGGTGCTTCTTGAGGCTTTGTACATAGAGTAGTCCTTCTTTGAAATCCTTGGAGTAACGCGTATTCTTCATATAACCATCCTAAAGCTAAGTCCAAACGATTTCTCATATCGTCGGTAATGTATCGTAATACTGCCTCCTTAATGTACGGATTAAATGTTGCAGCTAAGGTTGTTAAGATTTTAGACCTAAGATGCAATAATAAGTAGTTAATTATAATTAGTTTTTAGGTATAAAGAAAGTTATTTAATAACATTGATATACCTTATGGCTGCCACGCCACCAAATACGGCTGTCTTCTCGGATGAGAGGATTCTATTAACTGCCATCAGTAACATTTTTTCTTTCACTTCTTTTGGTAACGGCTTTGTAACTTCAGACAATTTCAAAGCTTTCAAACGATTTCTTGCTTTTGCAAGCGATTTTTCATGAGCTTCTAAAGAAGCCTTTGCTTCTTTTTCTTTCTCCCTATCTTTTTCACGTTTTCTTTCTCGCTTCGCTTCTGCTACACTAATAGTGGGATTCTTTACTAAATCCTCCATAACTGCATCTTCATCTTTAGCTTCTTTCTTTTTCTTCGCTTTAGCTTGTTTTATTTGCGTGGCTAATAATTTAGCAATCGTTTGTCGCTGAATACTAATGTCGGTCGTCGAAGTTGGCTGATATTCTCTTTGGAAAATTGTTGTCATTGTGTCAGGTACCCACGCCTGTAGGTGTAATATGCTTAATAAAAGGGCCTTAAAATAAAAATGACCATTGAAAAAGAAATATATATGTATATATATTATACCATGCTGTCCATTACTAAATCTGTAGCAATCTCCACACTTAATCTTTCAGAAATAAAACTTTCTGAAAGTTCCAATAGTTCTGGTAATTTTGGAGGAGGAACAGGAGTAGGCACAACTTCTGGTTCATCTGGTATTAAAGGAGTTTCAACTTTAACACGTTTTGCAGCAGAAGTAGCAGCTGCTTCCTAAAAATTATATAAATTACTAATGAACAAATTGTCAATAATGCTAGCAACTTGCGTTAATAACGAAGTTACTTGTTGCCGCTTCTTCATACGCCGGATGTCCTCTGGTTTTGGATAAGATTTAATTATTTCTTGTTCTTTTGCTCCCAATTGTGTTAATTGTTTAGCTATGGTAGACGCGAATTCTATACTAGCAGGGTGTTTCATAAGTCCTAATAAAGTTAATTTTAACTGTTTTTGTACACTAGTTACTTGAGAATCAGACAATGTCGGTGGTAAGTCATGTTGTAGCCTTTGCAAAGCTGTAAATTAAAACCTAGTTAGTATAAAATTTGTGTAAACAAACTATTATCATGTATGCCACATACCTTGTATTACTCCTGGCATAAACTGGGGTCTTGATTTAGCAATAAATGCTAAAGACCCCATGCATGTCATTAAATTGACACTGCTAACATGAGGGGACCCATGAAATTTAATTAATAAATCCATTACGTCATTAGCTTCTTCTTCTAGTTTTCGTCTACGAGCTATTTTTAATGTTAGTGGAATATCTTCCAAAGAAAAATCATCTGATTTTTTCGGTGAGTCTGGATCAGGGTATGTTTGTATTAAAACTACACCCTCAAGAAACTTCACAGCTTGTGTTCTAATGCTGAAACAAAACAACTTGGTAACTGAAGGTTGATTAATTGTATTAAAAAAATAATTAAATAATCATTTTACCCATCATTATCACTATCTATCATATTTATAATCTGTATCTTAAGAGCACTGAGTTGACCCCATGCCACTTCCATTTCTGGAGTAATTGTAGTGGCAACAGATATCCATTTTAATGCAGCCCTCAATATTCTGCCACTAGCTCTTAAAGCTCTTTTAGCTACAGCTGATGATTCGTCAGAGACTAGTCTTAGAAGTATTTGAACTACACGTGGAATTATTTCTGGCTGTTTTACTCTGAAAATAAAATATGTAATAAATCTTAAATGAGTTAATGATTTCAACAAATTATACAATGTAACTTTTGATGAAAATTACCCAGCATCCTCTATGAAACCTGTCACTGTTTTCTTAACTTCTGCATTTCTATCTAATGAAAATTGCAAAACTTCGTCCAAGTATAATGGAAGTAACTGTGGTTCTTTGTTTATTAAAATTTCTTGAACTTTACATAAATTTGTAACTTTCACATCCTCTGCTGGATTTAGAGACGCTTCATTTAACCATTCAACTATCTGTGATATTTAATGTAAAACAAAACACCCAGTTATTTTCAATCTTTATGTGTGAAAATGTTATGAGCCTTTATAATTATTGTAAACAATTTACTAAATAGAAAATTCAAAAATATAAATATATTTTCTACAAGTGGAGAATCATGAAAATTTTGATACGAATTATTATGAATTTGTAACATATATGAAGTCCATGTACAATGAACGATTTGTTTATATTCATAAAAAAAATACACGCAGTTGTTGGAGGTTATGACACTGACCAAATCACCCGGTCCCTTTTCCGACTCTGATCTCCTATGTATTCGAGGATCCATGTTATATTTTTAAATAAACAAATTAAAATGGAACGTATACTAAAATTATCGGAAAAGAAGTTGTCGGACAATTTGTGCGCCGCAGCCCCGGTACGCTATACGGTTTACACGTATATATCGCATATGTTTAAGCTTATTTAAGAGACAAATAATATCTGTTATAATCAATCTAAAAGTATATGTTTTTTGTACGATAATTTTCTTGATATCGTGTTCGAAATTCTAAGTCAACAAACTATAAAAATTGTCTCGACATTCGATGAAATTGCTTAGTTGCCATCTTGGCATTTTTTACTGTTCATAAAATGCTACAATCGCTTCAGATTAAAGAGGCGGGAAATTTAATTCGACATCAATAGATTTCATTTTGAGATACTGACATTAATTATAAAACAGGATACAACATCTTTAACGATACAATTTACGTGATATAAACTGTGTGACGAGCAGATAATTTATACTAAAGTCAAATTTTTATTCCGTCCTTTGTATCTTACGTCTTAAGTCTACATTTAAACTAAAAATAGTATTATTAAGAAAGGAATGACTTCAGCTGTACTGATTTAATTGCTATATTATTTTTTATAAGCATCGTTATTGATATTTTTGGCGTAAAAGCTGCAGTAAGTTTAAAAGTTATCGATGTATCTCTATTCGAAGCGTCAAAGGTCAAGTAGATGGATTGCTTACTCGTAATCTGACAGATAACCGGGGAAATTTTGTTTAGACAAAACTAAAGTAAATATAAAGTATACATTATCAGTTCGTTAAATTTTGTTTCGTGTGTTCGTTGACCAGTCAGAGTTTCGTGATTGTTCAAGAGAAACGTGATGTGACAGAGTCCTCTGGTCTTAAAGTTAGTGCTGTGATCAACAATTGCTATGATTTCGAGTTTTTATGAAAAAATTATTGGAATGCCTTCTACAACAGAGCCGAACCAAAAGAAAGTTCTTTGTGTCGGATTAACGTGTTTAGATATCGTACAAGCTTGTAAAGAATATCCCGCGGAAGATTCTGATCAAAGGTAAGATTTTCTTTGGTTTACGTTTGCGCAATGTTGCGGAGTAGTGGAAGCCATTTCATCTTCGTCGTCATTGGCTAACGTTCATTGTTTATTCCTTTTTTCCGAAAGTTTTCCCAGTTGCGTCACGAAGCGATGAAGATAGAAATGTGACAATAACGGGGTTGTCAAAGCCTGAAGTTACGGGGGGAACGCTGTATTTAATGATGATGCAAACAACTCGAACAAGTGAATATTAATTATTCGTTCAATTACCTAGATAGGTACAATGGATTGATGGAAAGTTGGCATTCGATACGGCACAAGAATGAAGGTGTCATTCGCTGTGTGTTTTTTTTATAATATTGAATATTTATCGTCTGATCGTACTAATGAATAACACATTACTGTTTCTACTTTGATCAATTCGATTCGTATTCCTTCTCAATGCCTTTTTTCTATCAATGCGCCTTACATGTGTGTGTTGTCTGTGTTAAGTATAGAACTATACTAATAAATTATCATAAAATCTTCATCACTTTGAATGATGCATGAAACTAGAACATTAATGTTTACAAAGTTTTAGAAACTATATGTTTCTTAAATTTTCTTCAGTTTATTGTTAATCTCTTTTTCTACCACTTTTAGGACTGTGGAATACAGATGGCAAAGAGGAGGCAATGCATCCAACACTTGTACAGTTCTTTCTCTCTTGGGAACTTCATGCGAGTTTTTTGGTACCATGAGCACAGATGAACATTTAAACTTTCTCCAGAATGACATGAACAAGTATAATATTGATTATTCTCATTGCCCTATGAAACAAGTAGGATGTCCAATCTCTACTGTTATTTTGAGTCTAAGTACTGGTTCTCGTACAATTTTACATCATAATCCCAAGATGCCTGAATTGACATTGAAGGATTTTGAACAACTGCATTTACAAGACTACAGCTGGATTCATTTTGAAGGCAAAAATATCAATGAAGTATTGTCAATGATGCAGTGTATAGAAAATTATAACAATGCATTAAGCAATAGTCAAGATTCCACAGATAAAGAAATGCATAAGAGGCAAATGCCAATCACAGTAAGCGTAGAATTAGAACGTCCAGATCACGAATTATTAGATTTATTACCATATGTTGATGTTGCGTTTATATCTAAAGATTTTGCTCAAAGTAGAGGATATGATAATATGAGTGAAACATTAAAGAATATTAGCGATGATGCTAAATCTGGGTAAATATAAAAATCAAGAGTTACTTTAAATCATGTACTATGTAATAGTTGAACAATTTTATGTTTTTTTTTAGAGCAACTTTGATCTGTGCTTGGGGAGATCGAGGTGCTATGGGAAAAACTCCCGACAATGTCACAGTACAATCTCCTGCCTTTCCACCACATAAGGTTGTGGATACTTTAGGTGCTGGTGATACTTTTAATGCAGCAGTGTTACATTTTTTGAATGAAACAAAGAGAAAAATGTCAGACGTAACTGAATTAAAACATGGGGGATATAAACAAAATATAAAAAAGAATTATAATATAGAAAGCATAGAATGCAGTCGAACTGAATTTATTACACACACTACTTTACAAGGTGCCATAACCTTTGGTTGTCAAGTAGCTGGTGTTAAAGTTGGTATAAAAGGTTACAATAATTTAGACGAAATCGTTAAAAATGAAATATCAATACATTTAAACCAATGAAACTATTTTATACCTCTCTGGTTATGGAAAATCATATTTGTAAAATATTTTATATAAGATTTGAACATTGTATAAATTTATTAATTCTACATTTTAAGAATTTGTTATATGTTTCAATGCGATTAAGATAAAATAAAGTTTGTTAATGTTATATTACATACATATACATATATATATATGTATTATTTATATAATCAGACACATATATGTTAACATCCATTTAGTATAAATATTATCAGAGAAAAAAAACACGGTGATAAATCTAAATTTCTCGTTTGCACATGAAGAAGTACTTTTCAGTTTACGTTTATTATGTATAACTCCGTACAACCCACCAATAACAAATTGAGAGAGGAATAGACTATGTTCAAAGACGATGGTGTTGTATCCCAAAAAATTCCATTACCTATGTATACAATAGAAAAGTTATCTACAAGTTCACGGACGACATAATTACACGTGCATACAATGATACCAAGACATAAAACGGTACAGATACATAAAAAATATAGAACTATTAATGGTTCACGAGCATTAATATGGACCATGGGCGTGTTTTCATTTCTTTTAACATTCCCGTGGGTAGATCCTAGAAATATTTGTTAGCTGTCGGGTTCGACACCGGCATTTACAAAATCCAAAACGGCAGGTACGCACATGTCGGGCAGGCATCTGGAAAAGAAACGGATTGAACTGTTTATCAATGGAAATTACGGTAACTGCGAATGATCGGTCAAACTCGTACTTACCTGACAACATGGTCAAGGTGTATCAAGAACTTGGGAATGGATACTTGTTTTATGTTTCGCCTCTGCATCCGAACTATTTCGTCAGCTACCATTTTCGGTACAGCCAATGACATGATGCTCGGGAACCTAAATAAGGGGTGTATCCATCGGTCGATTACCTTCGTGCAAATCGTTTCTCTATTTTACTTCAATTAGAGTACAGGCCGCCTGATTTCCAAATGACTTAGGTCCGTATTTTACTTTGATTATTACGAAAACGAACGATCGGCGCGCAAATGTATCCCCAAATCTTTGAAACAGTTTCGAGAAGCAAGTTTCAAATTGAATTCCCGAACCTGGTATCACTTGAAGACCAAGCAGCCAGTATTCTGTTTATATTCGATTTGTTTTAGTCATTTTAGAAAGTACGCCCACCTTTAATTCGATAATCCAGCCTGTATGCAAGCACATACACACACACATACACGTTCTGTGTTATTATTAAGCATTAATTTCACGTAGGTACAGTTATATCGTGTTAGAGTACCTTAAAGGACCGTCCGCGTGACAGTCCCTTAATAAATTTAACGTTTAATAATAAGAAATTAGAAGCTGTTTCGCGCGTAAACAAGCTCGGGCGGTTCTACCTCATTCGCGGCTTCTTGCAGAGACCCGTATCCACCATGTACGGGCAAATGGTGGTGAATTTGATCTTCGAAGGCTTGTCTTTGCTCGATCGCCGAAGTTCCTCGTCCAAGCTCTCCATTAATCCTGTATCGAGTGGAGACGGTATTTTACACAAGCTCATTATTGAGTTTAAGGATAGAGGGATTCAAATTTCTCACCTCTTACGGCGTACTTTGAGACACAATATGGCACCAAGTTAGGCAAACCCACGAATCCGGCTACTGACGAAAGGGCAACGATATGCCCGTGATTATTTTGGATCATACTGGGCAAGAAAGCTTGCAGAGTCTACAGATGAATGAATAAAAAAGGAAGGAATCATGAGCGCATATAATAACGGGTGGAAGATTCAGAAACATCGAAGAAACGACGAAGTTTACCCAGAAGTGCGCCATGACATTGACATCGAACATTCGTTTAATCTCTTCAGGCGAGTGATCCAGGAATGTATGGCAGGGCATTATGCCGGCATTGTTGATCAGGATCGTTACGTTTCCGACGTCTTGTTTGACCTTTTCTGCTACTTTAAATACTTCTTCCCTGTTCGCCACGTCACACCTGTTGTACCACAAACAACGTATGCGTTATATTGCAAATAATTATGTATGATGTTTTTATATCAATGCACCTGATATATGCCAGTTCAGTAATTATGCTATTCGACACTATTACCGATCTCACTAGAACAAAGTTAATCTGTTTGCGTACATATTAATGATAAATATATTCGTGCGCACGTACTTGTAGCCATAGACTTTTGCCACACCCATTTGTTTAATTTCTTCTACAGTTCCGTTATTTCCTTGCGGATTTAAGTCCCAACAAACAACTGTAGCTCCTAATGATGCGTATTTCAATGCTAATTCCTTACCAATACCGTGCCCCGCGCCTGTCACCTGCACGAAAGAAAAAAAGTGCGTACAATCCGCATCTTAAATTGTTCTCCAGTTTCAGTTACGTAACGCNNNNTTTGAAGAAAACATGTTTCAGCGGTGAGGCAATGTTTATATTTCGTTGGTACCTGATTTCCTGAACGCAATGTATCCTTGACTTTCGTATTTAAATGGGATGCACGATATTTTCGCGACGAATGGAAATCAGGCAAATCCGAAAAATGAATATTCTTTACGTTCAAGATAACGTCAGGAATTTAAAAATAAATATACGATTAATGTTCTCTATTTTTAAAGTTTCTATTGTTCCTATTGTTAAAATCTTTTATTGTAGAGACCGATTTAACTGGAATTTTAAATATCGCAAAAAGTCCCGACTTTTACGTTGATTTTCATTCGATACGGAAATACATAACATTCAGCCGACGGAACGGAAAATTTTGCCCCGGAAGTCACTCGTTATTCATACGAAAATTCGTAAATCAAAGGATAAACATACTTCGCGGAAAAATGCCAAGGGCGCAGGACACGCGCAACCGTATTTCATAGAACTTAAAACATTAAAAACTACAAACATAATAGCACTATGCGTTCGATTGAATTCCTTGAAATTTCAGCTTCGTTGATAGTCGGTGTACGAAGGAATTATGAAGTAACGTCAACGTTTCATAAATAGACACACCGCGCACTTTAAACAACATTGACACCAACGCGTCGGTTTATTTCAAATTAGCAGTTAGAACACTGTATTCTATCCTTAAAAATTTCTAGAGTCTCGCAATAACGTATCGCGAAATGGTTTTGGTTTTCAGAGAAAGACGACGTACGGCTGAATTTACCGTGGGATCTATCAGCTGGAAAATCGGGTGGGATGTGGCGAACCGTTTCTGTTCGTCTTCGGATCGCGACTGAAGCGTCTGGCTATAGAGCTTCCCTGACCACTACGAAGGTGAGTCGCGGTGTCGTTGCCTCGCAAGTATAGGAAATTGTCTGGATAGAGGATGACTGGTATAGCGGCTGGTAGGGTGGATTGTCGTTATCGCGACCATGCGTCGGTTTCGCGGGAAAATCGTTGCTAAAGCTGATGCAGCATGGGATTAGCAGGGTGCACTGGTCAGCGCTACGGGAAAAGAGCACCTTGCCTTCAATGGTGCTGCGGCTAGAAACACTTGATGAGAACGGGTTTTGATCAAGGAAAGAGACGTGCATCAAAATTGATCGCGGAAGGAAGTCTTGTTACTAGAGAAATAATCTCGTCAACCGTTTGTACACGAAAGTTTTCCACTGGAAATGTCCAACATTGTCCGGCGAGATATAGACGACATTCTTCGAAATTATTTTGCTTCACTATTTCATGTATCGATACATTATACAAAGCTTAAAATTAGGTCGTTGCATAAGCTGGTGCCGCTGTGAGTTAACACTTCGCGCGTTACGTTTTACAATTACAGAGCGATGCAACGACTTGGACGACTAAACCTTTATGCTTCAGTTTAGTTGGTAGAAGATATTCGAGAGCGACAGGTCTAATATCGTATGCAAGACTTTATAATTTTGCTATAGCAAATGACGTGGTGATTAAGGATCACCTCTCGAGTGCAGAGGAGTTAGCTTCGCATACCTTTTCCGAATGATTCATGGATGTTTAGAAGGCTGGAAATACCAGTGCCGACTCAAATATAGCGAGAACTTTGGATCAAAGGAAAAAAAGGGAACTCTCGAAAATATTACACACACTTCTCACTTTCGCCGTCCTGGCGAAAGCATCCGACCCGCGCGAAACTGCACTTCTTCCTTTCTTTTTGCTTCGTGGTCGCCCGCGATACCGGCTTTTATACGTCGCTTACACAATCACTTTCATTTTGCGACGCATTCCGCTGAAACCCGCCCCGGCGCGAGCCGGCAACTGTTCATCCATCAAATTGTTTTGACTTTCATCAAAGGATCGGCTGTTGAAACGGGAAAACATCCTCCGACTGTCCAAAAATATCTTTATTATGACTGATCTCGTCCGAGGATCACATTACTTTGAGAATTCTATGCTCTCCCATCAATTTCCCTCGCATTCGAGAGGTGAAAAGATATTTCGATCGGTACTCGGTGTCTTTAAGTTATCGACAACCTTGCTATTATAAGCAAGCCGTACTTACAATTTATAATGTTCGTCCATCGTTGCAAATTGCGCATTGGACTCTGGACAATGACATTTATAATTCGCAGTGAACAGTAAGAGAAACATGGGAGGGAGAAGATACATATTATTGCCTCGAAGGCATTTTAATGTAGCAAATTTGTCCGCGGCGCTCCGTCTGCTCATTTACTCGCTTTCCTCTCACTGATACGATTTTTCCCGATGAAAATTGAATTCGACGTGCCAAGCTTGTACGACTATAGACGGTCATGGGTCAATGCACCAATTTATCGATTTCCTATCCAGGCATAATGCGTCTACCGGACAGGTGAAATTTTAATTTGGTGTGTTGAACGATGTTCGTGCGAGCTGTGCTGCACTCAGTGGTATCCCCCCACGAGGAGAACTGTTTAAGCATCTTGTAAACCTTTACACTTAGGATATGTCAAATGGTTAGTGCAATATTCACACCAGTCTGAGTAGTGACATTTTGCCAACAGTTCCGTTTTTTAAACTTATAATGAATATCATGTCGAGGAGCATATCCAGTTACTTTAGATATACTCGGTATATATGTATCACGCCAAAACTGGTCGGAACTGTTGGAAAGTTTTGCCGAGAAAACTTCAGCGCTCAAAGTATTCGCTTATAGAAGGTGTTTTCTAACATTCAATAATTAGCAACTAAAGATTCACCAGTGCTAAACCTATCATAGACAATTATCTCGCCAGTATAATCTAATTATCTTCCCGGAGAACTTCAAACGCAAAACAATTTCCGAACTCCATTTGGAAAGAACGCAGTCACTGAGAAGCTTAATGATAGGCTTCTGGTGCGTGAAGTGTTAAAGTCACCGAGGGCTGTAATGAACGCGTTTCACTTTATAGTCCTGGATACTCGCACAATCCCCTTTCCTCTGATTGAACCTCCGATCGTAACATTGAACTGGGCGGTTAGAGCCACTCTCGAATAATTGAAACTCGCGAGGAGGAGGATCAAACGTTCCACCGGCTCCTTTGTGATCCGCCAGGGCAGTTAATTACAGTCTCAGCAGCCGCGTAAGACAATTCGGGGGAATGTGTCGCGACGCACAGGAGCGGCAAGTAAACAGAGGGTCGCGGGTGAATAATCCACGAATCAATCTGCGTTGAAGGAACATTTAATCGCGCCCATTCGCGAATCATTCGTCGCTCATTCAAACGGGGAATCTTGGCGAATAATTGACGCACGTATCGTTTAACCCTTGAACGGCGATGTCCGAGTCTACTTTAACCAGACTTTCAAGGGCCTCGTCTAATTTCTTATTTCCCAAGTTTAACTTAAGCTGTTAATTGATTGTATTTTATTCGGTAAAAAAATCAACGCATCATATAATAGTACACTTGAAAAGATATCTAAAAAAATGGTGAAGTATAAGTTTGAATGGTCCCGCGCATTGTCGCTTATGGTCCCGACAAAATGGCCGTTCTCTGAAGGTTAATCGGAGCGCTTTCGAACGCAAAGATCGTCGGCAAAGGAAACGTTATCGCTAGAATTATTATCATTCATCCGAATGATTCATCTCTAGCTTCTTTTTTCGCAATTATTAGAAAGATGAAGATACTTTTGTAAGAAACAACTAAAGAAATCGATTTAGTAATACGCAAACTGAGATACATGTCAATCGAAATCTCAATAAACATACCCATAGAGTACCTATACAAAAGTTAATTATCTCGAGTTAATGCGGTTTCTGTGGACTCTATTTTCTTCACATTGTCAAGGTTTTTTCTGCATTCCGGTCTCGTACAGGCTGTTCGGAATTTTTCAGGGTTTACGCAAACGGAAGTCGCGCGAAGCATACGAAACGAATTAATTCGAGTTGCTTTTGCGATTAGAAACGTGCGGTCGCAAACACTCCGACGCGAAAGACGCAGAAAACGATTGTCTGTTCGGTACTTGGAGAGTTTCGACCGCGGCTTCGGACTATTGTTAGACCAGCCGATGCATCTAAAAGGACGATAGTCCATTGACCGTTCCTCGTCGCCTCTAGGAATAGTGAGATCGATATAGGGTTCACGAACCTTCCTCTGCGAGGTGCGGGACGCTTCCAGTAATGAAGAATGTATCGACAAAGTGAGGACGGAGGGCAAAGCGAAAAAGTTTCAGCCAGGCGAGTTTTCCTCGTTACGTTCCGCGCGAAACAGCGGTGTCATTTGCCCTTGGTAGAACTTGGGTATATTTTAACCCAGATTTTCAATGCTGCAACTTAACTTCTAATTTAAGTTGTTAGTGGATTATGTTAGATTTAATATAAGATCAATGTATTTTGTGGAAGTAGGTTCAAAAACATTATCTAGGAAAATTGATAGATAAAAATTTGAGCAGTACTGGACCGCTATAAAAACTGTTTGGTTTCCGAGTTTTTACCTTCGACTTGAGTCAAGAAGTTATTATAACATAATTGTTATTTATTTTCTAATTTTTTTTAGACGAAAATAAAAAAAGGTATGATAACAGGGTTAGATTTCAGGTATTATTTAGTTTAGACTGACGTACTGTCACCTATTAGAATTTGTATTTTCTAATATCATAAACTTGGTATCACGTGATTTAGATTATTCCAATAACGCGAAGGTCGCGGGTCCGATCATCTAGTGGGTGTTTTCTTCAACACGTAAGAATTTTCATTGTTTCTAGTAACATAATAATCACTAGAAAATTCTGTAAAAACCAGTCACCTATCACGTTGGCCCATTAGCTCAGTTGGTTAGAGCGTCGTGCTAATAACGCGAAGGTCGTGGGTTCGATCCCCCCATGGGCCAAATTTTTTTTTCTCAACTAAATCCATTTCAATTATTACGTTCCGCTCACATTATTTTTCACGTTATCACGCGTGATATAAACATCACGAGAAGGTGC